AGAGCGTATCTCAAAGGCGGTGGAGGTTGATTGGAAAATGGAGTAGCAAGCCGAGAAGGTGGGACAACAGCTGAAAGTAGCTACTTCAGGTGGGACTGCAGAAAAGTAGAGGACGGTAGCCTGTTGACTGCAGAGTGGGGCTGGACAACAGTCTGCAGGGGTAAATTTGATTGTTTACACTAATATTGGTGGGTGGTGAAATTGACTAAGATTGTTTACAGGGAGTCCTCCTCCCCATAGATAGGGGATTTGGCAAAGAGGAGTTGAAGGTGATTTGGCTTGCTGGAAAGCCTCCGTTGGTTTCTCAGCAGAGGGCAAGAGTGGTGGCAGCCTACTGTAGGGTTGGGAGGTGGGCTGGTAACAACAGGAAAGTAGAGGAAAACGACCTGCTAGATGCAAGAGGGGGCCAAACAGTGACCTGTAGGGGTGCAGGGAGGATGGACAGACATATAAATTTCTCGACAGGGTCGAGATACAACTGGATTGGAGATGATTACCACCTCAGATGAGAGATAGCCGGAGCACTTCCTCGATGTTGGATACACCCCTTGAAGGGAAAAATTCTAGGACAAAACCTGAATTCAGATATTAAAAACAAGACCCTCAACTCTAAGTATATCATCCCATATTTATATAAAGCTAGAATTATTTTAAGTAATGAAAATAAGGAAAGGTAATAAAATATAATCATATTTTCAGATTTTAAGAAATGATTTAAAATATGAAAGGATTTAAAATAAGAAATGATTTAAAATAAGAAGGGAGAACAAAAATCAGATTTTAGCTTTAGGAAATGTTTTAAAATAGAAAAGTGCTAGGAAGAAAAATAAGAATGATAGTACGAAATGAAAAGGGAAGGAAAAAGGGAAATAAGGGAAGAGGAAGGAGGAAAACCCCCTTGTCATTCTCCCGGAGTTGGAGGAGCTTTGACCTCGTTTGTCGAAGCTTCTGGATACTCATGGTACGACGGTAAGTCTTCTGCTAGGTCAATCATATTTGTGTACTCATTCCATAATACATTTTGGTAGAATAGGATGCCATCCTCTTTTGGCACATCCTGAGCGGGAGCTGCATATAGAGGTGGGCTTACGTAATGCAACTCTTGAGCCCTTACATTTGAAAGCTTCTTCTTCTACTTTTCGTGCCTAGTGTGCGGTAGTTGAGTAATTAGTATGTGGAGAGAACTCAATTCGGGGATGAAATCTTTGACAAGCTGCGCCACTCTCACTGGCACTCCCTCAGGAGAGTCCTCCTCCCCATAGATAGGGCCTGGACCTCATTGCAAAGTTTTTGTCTTCATCAAGCTCTTTGGGCCCCCAAATAAGTTAGGATCCACCACTTTCATGAGGGCATCTGGCAATGGGTACTATAGTGGTCTGAAAATGACATCTGAATAATCCCTCGTAATATTTCTGACATGGCAAAAAATAATTCATTTTCGGACATGCTGGACCTTCCTGGTAGGGATAACTCAGAAAGAGGTCTAATCATCTGAAAAAAGTTATATTTCTTGTATCTTTGGTGGCCCTGTATTTGATGTCGTTTCCTCAAGCTCGTGATCCTACTGGACAACCAATGTCAATCCTGCTATAGCTCCTCCTAACGCATGTGAAACGACATCTGGAGGTACCATAGTTTCATAATTTACTTGAACATTTATTACATCAAGGTCACTACATTCTACAACGGCTACTATTACCTCAACTGAAATCTTTATCTCAGGATCCACTGGAATTGATGGCGCTCTTCCTCACTAGCTGCAAGTGGAGAATCTTCCCGAAAGTCTTCAACTTCTTCTGTATCAATTATGTCATTGCCCAATTTTTCAACAACATCATGCTTAGCGAAACAGATCTCTCCCCTAGTTGTGCATTCTGATTCCACATGCCCAAATTCGTGACACTTGTAACATTTTCTGGCTTGACAGACTTGCTGTTTGGTTTCATGGGATAGTAGACAGATGGGGTTACTTGGTGTTGTGGTTCTTCATTTTAGAATCTAGGAACTGTAACTTTTGGCGATAGTAAGTTGGTAGAAACCGGTGCTATGTTTTCCACTTCATCTTCACATCTTCTTGTTATTTCCTTTGGTCTGTTAGATCACGGTCTAGGGTAACCTCCCGCTGGATTTTTTCTTCAATATGTTGAAGTCTCCGCAGAAGATGGTAAAGCTCTTGCCGCAGCTTGTCCCGGGTATGCTTGATCATATATCTCATTAGTGGCATGACTAAAGTTTAGGATTGGGAGGTGTAAAGATGGTGCATGAGACTTATTGAAGGTGTATAAAATTTGATTTAGGATTGCAAATTTTGAAAATCAGCAAAGAGAATTTATGGATTGGTTTGGAATGGGTGGTTTAGGGTAGAAAAGAAATATTCTGATTGGGTGTAAGTCCGACGCTAGGGAACTCTGGGATAGGACTAGGGTTGGACTAGCTCTGATGCCAAATCATATTGGAGGAGAAAGCCCAAACCATAAAAAAAAATTTATTAATAGGAAAATAGGGTTACAACACTCACAAACTGGAAATACATCACCAAAACACAAAACAACACAAATGAACACCTCGAGAGTGTATCCTAAGGGCGGTAAAGGTTGGTTGGAAGGTGAGGTAGCAAGCCGGGAAGGTGGGACAATAGCGGGGAGTAGCGGGACAGCAGGTGTCATGACAGGATTGTAGAGGACAGCGGCCTGCTGTTACAGAAGGGGGTTGGAAAGTGGTTTGCAGGTGTGCAGGGAGGAGTTCGAGGTGATTTGGCAGGCTGGAAAGTAGCAGACGGTTGCTGGGTAGATGGCAGGAGTGGTGGCGACTTGCTGTAGGGTTGGGAGGTGGGCTGGTAGCAGCAGGAAAGTAGAGGACAGCGGCCTGCTAGATGCAGGAGGGGGCTGGACAGCGACCTGCGGGGGTGTAGGGAGGACGGACAGACGGATCGATAAATATCTCGGCGGGGTTGAGATACATCTAGAGTACCACTCGTACCCTTGGAGACGATCACCACATTCAACGAGGGACAACCGGAGCACTTTCTTGAGTCAGATACAACCCTCGAAGGGAAAAAATCTAGGATAAAACCTGAATTAATATATAAAAAACAAGACCCTCAACTCTAAGAATATTATTCCATATTTATAAAGATGCTAGATTTATTTTAGGTAATGAAAATAAGGAAGGAGAATAAAATATAATATTGTTTTCAGATTTTAGAAAAAGATTTATAATAGGAAATGATTTAAAAGAATAGAGAATAAAAGTCAGATTTCAGTTTTAGGAAAGATTTTAAACTAGGAAAGTGTTCAAAAGGAAAATAAGAAAGAAATAAAGGAAAAAAGAAAGGAGGGAAAGAACGAAAGGAGGGAAGAGGAATGAGGAAAACCCCCGTGTCAGAGTGTGAGGTAACTATTTTGCAAATTGGGTTTCTTCTTTTGTTGCTAGGATGCGAAAAACATGGGATTATATGCTAGTGCCCATGAATGTGCTGGACTAGTACTCTTAATTTGATGGCCCTAGTTATCTTTTTGTTGATCTTTGGATGATCTGATCTTGGATTAAGATCCTCTCACATTATTGCGATGAGAGAGAGTTATCTGGATCTTACTTCATGATTTAAGAGACACTTTTCCATCCATTATTTGTTATTCATACAAATTACCTTGATGGACCGATTGAGTTTGGAAGGAATTTGAAATCCCAAAATTACACCATTCTAAGTCCCACAAAACCTTGCCACCACTACTGGCTAATTACCTTGTAATCTTACTTTCTACGTCGATAATGTTTTAGGATGAGATGGTTTTTGTTCCCTGCCCACATAGTGATCCCCCTCGTAGGTGTGTGAAGAAACAAATCAACTATGATCATTTTATTTTATATCAAGAAAGGTTAATTCATTTATTTGTACTTTTATTATATTTGATTTTCTTAAAAATATAACGGAGATTAATTAGCTCGTGTTGGAACCCTCTTCTGGTTGCCAACTAGTTTGCTTTATGGCTGTGAGCTTTCTTCATTAAAATTCTCTATAAGTCACATTTAGAGCATTCCAGCTTGGTGTGTTTCATATCCGGCATTGCTTTTTGGTTTTGGCAGCTTGCATGATGAGGGTAAATAAAGAGGAAGATTTACATACATATTACTCGATTCCTATGTATTAACATATCTAACTCCTAAACTTCAATTTTTACATGCATGCCACACTTATTTTTGCATTTTTGCATTTTTGCATTGAGATGATCTATTTTATTATATTTTAAGTTAAAATGGCGGTATCTCTGATGTGATATAAAAAATTTGGGTGTTATAAATGTAAAATGCAAAATTTAGGTGTTAGATATGTAAATACATAAGAACTGGGTGTTATGTATGTAAATGCCGCATAAAGATGGTGCAGTGTTAAAGAAGGCTAAAAATATACTGAATTATCTTTATCCCTGAGTTGCTTGGTTAGATGAATGGTCTTACTATGGCTGATAGCTAACTTCTCACGAACTTCTCTAACCGGGAGGACGCTATGTTGGATGAATGTCATGTTTTGATTGGTCTGATCCATTAGTTTTTATGTTCTGATATTTTGCTTTATGGGATTAGGTATGGTATTGATTTCCTAATATTCTGAGGAAGATCATTCTAGGTAGTTTTTATAGAACTTTATTTCTTTTAAAATCATGCCATCTTTTAATATTTATCCTATTCTTACATGAAATATAAATTTATTGAACAATGTTTATGCCTTAGATGCTAAAACAGTATCAGAATTGGCAACGATTTTCTTTCACTAGAATCATTTATCCATATTAATTATTATTTATGACATAGGCCATTGCTTTTAGATGAAGAATGGACAGTGTCCCGGTCCAAAGTTCCACCCAAACAATTTTGTTGCTAAGGTTTTACTGAGTAATTTTTAATTATTTTATAGTTTTCTTTCAGATTTAGTTACTGGAACTTGAATTAATTGCTCTATTATGGTTTGTAAAACATAGATTTCAATTTACTTTTGATAGATGGTGGCAATCCTGGCTTGATTTTGTTAACCAAGATACCAATACCACTTTGAGCAATGGCTATGGTTTACACAACCATGGATCTCCGTGTTCAAGCATCCCCAAAAGGCCTTTAGCTATTGACAATTCTGATTTGATTAATGATGCGACATCAGAAATCCCAAATGTTGATATAGAGCTTCATGAAACCTTAGTGGAAGGTCGGGACTACATATTGCTCCCACAAGAAGTTTGGAATAGATTTCGTGGTTGGTGAGTTAATTTATTTTGTGATTTAAATAATTGCTTTTTGTACACTTATGCATTTTGACACATGCAATCTTTCTTCTTTCAGCTCCATTTTACTTCTAAAAAAATTCAATGCTTTTAAAGAATAAAGCCCATGATAAGGTTTATTGATGAAAGATATTTGTTATATCTAGGCATAGTGCACTGAAGTGTCCTGCGGTCTTGTTGGATTTCGTGGACCCGCGATCCCACATATGCGGGATTGAGCGGGAGATTTCCCATCTCGCCTTCTACTACTGTTGCTGCCCAGCTCTGTGGACCCATATTTAATATTTCCTTACTTAGAATTAGGGGTTTTGAGGGGAAACTATTTATATTTTGCTATTTTCTTGGAGATTTTTATTTTGTTTGTGAGTTTTGGAGATTGTAATCTCTAATCCTACCTTAATGAAGTGTTTTATAATTTTCCTTTCGCAAGTGGTGTGTCTGTAGTTTATGCAGAAATAGGCGGCGAACCTTCTCGCCGCCCGTGCACTGCTGATTCGAAGCTCTCTATGTTGTTTTCAACTGGGATAGCTGTCGACAACGTTGAGTCTGCTGTCCAATAATAGATTTATCCTCATAATCCCGTCCAAATGCCGGGGAACTTGTATTTACCTTTCCTTTGCCATTCCACAGTCACATCCCCGCTAAATATCATTCCAAAGTATATCTAGGAGCCCCCTAGAACGATATCATCTGGTATTAAGTCTAGCAAACTCAAAAATTTTAAGGCTTTGTATCTCTTATACTAAATCTAAAATTAAAAAAAAAATTCTACCATACTAAAATCATTCTTACCGCAATTCCTAGCGCCAACCTCAAACTTTTCAAAATCTAATTTTTCCACCTCAACCAAAAGTTCATCCTCACTCTTGCCACCCAAAACCCTAACTCTAAATTACCCTTTTCTCTTAGGCATCATTTTGATTGGATGAACTATACGTCATGTTGTCAAGGAAAACCCTCAACAAGTGTTCAAGAGTTCATTATGGAAAACATGTAAAGAGAAATCCGTCAAGAGCAATAGAGGTTTGCTGTATGTGAGGAGAAAATCTGATGAGCTCAACAATAGCCACAACGGTGACTTGTCAGATCGAGAAAAGGAAGTGAGTCCATTTCACTAGGTAATTCCTAGTGGTGAAGAACCAACACTTGGCATGAAATATCAGAAGAGCTAATATTTTGCAGTGAAGATTGACTAGCTAGATTTTGATGGTCACATGGATTTAGATAAATTTATCCAGTGGCCTCAAGCAGTAGAACGAATCTTTGAGTATACGGGCATTCCACTGGACAGAAGGTTAAAGTTAGACGCCATTAAGTTAAAAAAGAGTGCATCTTTATGGTGGAGAGAACCTAATGCATCTTCGATAATGAAACATAAAAGTATGATCACCCCTTGGTGTAAAATGAAAAGGAAGATGCAATGCAAATACCTTCCCCCGTATTACCGACCATATATGTTCATAAACTCTGTTACCTGCGTCAGAGAGATTCTTCTTTGGAGTAGTTCAGAGCTGAAATTGATCAACTTATGCTGAAATATGATTTGACAGAACTAGAGGCGCACGTAGTAGTGCTGTATCTTTGAGGACTGAGATCGTTTATTAGGAATGTGGTGCAAGTGTAGTTGTATTGGTTCCTATTTGATATACATACTCTAGCTAATGTTACGAGGTGACAGTCACACATTACGGGCATAGTTCAACCCAAAGATCAAGCAGTAATAGTACATCCAGTGGATCATCTCAGCCGACCCTGCCTAGGGAAAAATTAGTTCAGAGTAGAGAAAAAATAGAGACCTCCAACACTCTCAAATCTGTCCCAATTAAGAAGTGCCAATGAAGAAAGTGAGGATGGAAAGGAGGTGTACCATCTTCCAATTGATGAGGGAGCGTGCTAGTGATTCAAGTCGGGCCCATGAGAGAGATTCAAATAGGATTATCATTGGTTATCCTAGGAGGTAGTGAGTTTGAGTATCCAGTATCAGGAAAGGAGCAACCTTTGTTGCAAAAGTTGCTGGATAACATGATTAACAATTTGCCTCTAGGTAGCTACTCTGAAAGAGATTCAATTGACCATAGATCTCATATTAGAAGCGACTAAAATGACAAAGGGGAAAAGGGCTTCGACTTTGTCACGATTGAGAAAAAGAAGTGAAACAGGTGGCTTCACATGGTTTTTCTGTGCGACAGAGAGGTCCAAAAGTGATGGTTGTTTGTGAGTTCTAGACTGTTTTTTTAGGTTTGATATGATTGATGGTACCGACTCTCATGGTTGATATGCTTTGCTTTAGAGTATGACTATTGCGAATTACTGAATAATTGAGTTTACGAACTAGATGTCCATGTTATCAGTCTAGATGTTGAATCATTTTAGAAGGCTATTAGCCTACTTAGGGTTTACTGCTTATGACTGATTATTACGTATACGGGGAGTTTTTAACACACGATGGATTCAACGCTTGTAGATGCCAGATTTTGCATAATTTATAGATTATGGATTCATTTGCTTAGACTTGATACCAGGTCAAGATTCACTATAGGTCCTCCCAATAGTTTCACAGGCATGAATTATATTTGACTGATATGGGTGAGGCTACTATCTTTTGATGCTTTCATGAAGCATTGTGCTCGTAGATATGCGCGTCACGTAAAATTGTGTTTGACATTCTTTAAGGTCAAAGGTCCCGTCGTAGTGTTCCACATGTCGGAGATAGCAGAGGCAAACTTATTTTAATTTTTTTGTCAACAAAAAAAAATATTCATATACTGTTTTTTTACATTTTTCTTTCTAACTATTTTTTATTTAATCATCTTTTATGACACATTTTAGAGAGAGAATAAGCCCATAATAGGAGAGGCTTACTTCTACTGGACTTATTACGTGCTAGGAAGCCGCCTCCACCTTTTGTTGATATTCCCTCAACATATAGATATATTAGATCTCAGAGTGAGCATTCTACACTTGTGGATTAGAGGAATGATTATAATCCTCAACGCTTTGTGTCATGAGAGAAGATTCCTTCTAATCTTAGAATGTCAGTTGATGTGGAGCCGCTACTTTATGAGTCGATATTAGCTTCCATCTCCCTTGATTTAGCTATCGTTCCTAGTACACCACTCCCAAATAGCTCTTCATTGAATGCTGGAGGATCGAGTTCAGGTAATATTCTCTTCTTTTATCTAATATGTATACACGTTTTCATTATAACATACTGATACTTATTCTCTCTCTCAAAACAACACAAGTTGGAGTATTAAGTTTCTGAGATTTGCTACCCATGGAATTTGTTTATAGATCTTAGGCATCGGGACATGCATGAGTATGCATTGACATATTTTATGGAGCTGATATTAGAGTCATTACTTGATAAGCCTATGTTAGTTTTTACCTTCCTTGATTTAGCTATCGTGCCTAGCATACTTCTCTCAGATAGCTCTTCAATGAATGCTGGAGGATGGAGTTCAAGTAATTTTCACTTCTTTTATTTTAATATGTATATGTGTTTTCATTATAACATATTGATACTTCATTTCTCTCTCAAAACAACACACATTGGAGCAGATTATTTATGGATCTTAGTGTTTTCATTATAACATATTGATACTTCATTTCTCTCTCAAAACAACACACATTGGAGCATATTATGTATGGATCTTAGACACTGGGACATGCATGAGAATGCATTAACTTTTTTGCGGAGCTTGATATTTGGATTAAATCCATAATCACCTTAGTCTTTGGAGAGCTTCGCAACAGCTGCAAATGCAGTGTTCCTGCTGCACTTTGGTTTGGAAGGTTCAAAACTTATATACTAGGAGGTGATATATCGTGTGGCTGAGTTTTTAATTCACAGACTCATGACTTACCATTACTTGGACTGGGGCCTTATTATCTGACCTTCATGAAAATATTAGGTGTCGCGGGTGGCTGATGTTGCACATGATGAGTTGGAGATGTGTTTTGAAGCCCTCATGTGGTCTTACGACTTGTCACAAGCATAAAAACTATGGTAAGTCATGACCAATGATTTTTCATCACCAACCTAACACAAGCATAAAAACTATGCCGCAGACATACATCTTTCAATAGAGTGTGAAAATGAACTTTAATAAAAGAGAATAAAAACAAAAAAAAAAACATCCACTAAAGAAATTATAAAAGTATAAAAATATTGAGATGTAATAAAATAAAATCAAAATATCACAGAAGATGAGACTATAGACCTCAAAGCTATTTCATGATCTCGGTAAGAGTCTTGTACTCTATCACAACAACCTTTAGCTCTATCGCCGATGCTCCCTATCAACTATCTATGACAAGCATGGTGACAAGTTCAGCGGGTGGTAGTGAATGAAAGGTACGAAACAATGGGGACAACAAATAGGAAAGGGTTGTAGGTGGATGACAGCGGTAATGGGGTGGTTGGAGTGGCTTGAAGGGAGTTAGGTAAGCGGACAACATTAATAATTTGCCGGAAGGGAAATGACTGTGTGTCGGGATGACGGAGGGAGAGTTTGAGGTTGAGGAGTGGAGATGAGAGGGTTTGGGAAGGATAGAATGCGAGGATACATTCACCACTTTGGAGACAATATAACCGAAGCACTACCACCTCCTCAGATAAATCCCACAAAGGGGAAAGAGGTTACACACAGGAGATTATAAGACAACTTCACTAAAATAGCTTTCCACACAAACAGGGGAAGCCATTTATAACCTTCTACTTTTACACGAAAGAAATGAGAGAGAAGGTAAGAAAAATTAAGAAGAAAGACCTCTCTAGAAGAAGACAAGTGTGGAAAATGTGCGAAGCAGCCCTGGATCGCGAGGGTTCGCGATTTGCTTCCTATTCTCACGTGAGGAATCGCGATCGCCCCCTCCGGCTGTCCCGCGATCCCATCCAGTTGTTTCACGAAGCTTTGTGAGCCTTTTTTCCCCGTGGAAACTCAATGCTTGCAGTCGGACGCTGCCTAGCACTT